GGCAGTGGTTTTATTTAATAATGGATGGGTCTTTCTCTTTTAAAGTCTTTGTGATTTTTCTTGTACCACCATCAAGATTTTAATTATCAGAAATTTAAGGGGGAAGCCAGGCCTGGTGCTACATGCCAGCAATCTTAGTCATTAAAGGCAGAAGCAGGAATCAGGAGTTCAAAGTCATTCTCAGCTACATAATGAGTTTAAAACCAGCCTAGACTACATAAGATACTGTAGAAAGTAAAAATAAAACATTCACCAAAAACAAAACAAAGGGCTGAGGTTTGTGGCTCAGTTGCTGAAGTATTTGCCTAGAAATTTCTTTTTTATATGTATTCTATTTTTATTTTTTATTCATATGAGTGTTTGGTCTGCATGCATGGAAGTGCACCACGTGTGTTCAGTCTCCATGGAAGTTAGAAGAGGGGGTCGAATCCCCTGGAACTGGAGTTATAGACTGCTAAGGATGTTGGGAACTGAACCAGGGTCCTCTCAAGAGCAGCACACGCTCTTAACCACTGAGCCATCTCTCTAGCCCTCATTAGAAATTTAAGAGTAACATACTTTGTCATGGTTGAGTGATGTGGGAAGGCCCTGGCCACTGTGGGTGGTGCCATCCCTGGGCAGGTGGGCCTGTATTATATAAAACAGGCTGCACACCAGCCAAAGGAGTAAGCCAGTAAACAGCATTCCTCGCTGGTCTGTGCCGCGGGTTCCTGTCCTGGCTTCCCTTGATGATGGACTATGGTATAAGCCAAATAAACACTTTCCTTCCCAAGTTGGTTTTGGTCAGTTTTTTATCACAGCAACTGAAAGCAAACTAATACAGAAATTGGATTATACTCCAGGATTGTGGAGTATTGCTGCAAAAGACCTGACCATGTATGTCTGGGAGGATTGTGGGAGTTTTGGACTGGAAAATTGCTGAAAGAGGTGTTGACAATGGAGGCCTGGCTTGTGAAGCTTCAAAGGGAAATAAAGATTATCAGGGCTGTTTGTAGAGAATCTGTGGTTTCTGGTTGGCTGGTGCTGAAGAATCTGCTGTGATTAAGACCAGCATCACTGAAGTAAAACCTTTGCTTTACTGGGATAATTGATGCTGGTTAGCTGGGGCTGAAAACTCAGCTGTAACAAGAGACCAGCCTCCTTGTGGCAAAATCTTCTGGGAAGTGTTTCCCCAGGGTCAGCACACAGAAGCTCTGGTCTAGAGGGGGCCTGAACCTCCATCTCAAGATGGAAGCAGAACTTGGTAATGTGTAAGACTCTCCTGCATGGTTCTGCTGTTGAAAGTGTGAAGTGGTCATGGAGAGAACTTGAGGTTTTGCACCCTGAGAGGCCAGGAAAGCCCACTGGTGAAGGTGCAGCCTCAGTTTCAATAGAGAACCCAGCATATTGGAGATGCCAGGACCATGGAACAATGAAGGACAGGAGCAGGTGTGGAGTGGAACTGGCCTGAGCCTACAGGACTAGCTGTGTGTGCTGTGGACAATAGAGCCAGAGAACGGAAGCTGCCCAAGCCCTTTGGTGCCCAGAAGATTGTGAGTGAATCCCAGATGTCCAGACTTGAGCTATTCTGCTGGAGTTTAGTTTTATTTACATGTATCCAAATCTTTCCTTTGAAATAAGGCAGTACTTCACTTGTTTTGGAGTCTACAAGCGCCCACAGTTAAGAGACTTTTAAGAAAGACTTTTAACTTTTAAAGTATTTAAATTTTTTTAAGAACTGTGAGACTTTCAAAGTTGTATTGTGATGTTGTAATAGTAATATGTCATGGAGATAAGAAATGGAAAGGTTGTGGTATAACAGTGATGTGCTTGTGTGTCAAGTGGACAAGGGTTCAATTGTGCTGGACAGCTTTAGTTGTCACCTTGACACACCTGGGAAGAGAGAACCTCAACTGGGGAATTCCCTCCATTGGATTGGCCTACGACCATGTCTGTGGGGCATTTTCTTTATTGGTAAGTGATATGGGGTTTGGGGGGAGTCCACCATGGGCAGTGCCACCCCTGGGCAGGTGGTCCTGTATTAAATAAGAGAACAGGCTGAGCAAATGCCAGAGGAGCAAGCCAGTAAGCAGCATTCCTCCGTGGCCTGTGCTCCAGGTTCCTGCCCTGAGTTCCTGCCTTGGCTTCCCCTGATGATGGACTGTACTTGTAAGCCAAAAAAACCTTTCCTCTCCAAGTTGGTTTTGGTCAATGTTTTTATCACAGCAACTGAAAGCAAACTAAGGCAGTCCCCAGATCTCCCACTGCATGTTTTTAGCACTATTCCTAGCGTCTACCCAACACAAACCAGCAGCACACTTCTGTCCTCACTATGACAACCAAAAATATCCTAGACCACTGCCAAATAGCCCCCTGGTTACAAACTCCCCACTGAAAACTACTGCCTTGGGCTAGGCTAACATGCCAGCCAAGGTCTATCAACTTGACTTATTCTCTAAAGAGCAGGAAGATGAAGTAGGTAAAATTTCTACAGGCAGAATTCTTCCTGTTCTGAAGGTTTGAACATTTAGAATTTAAAAAGAAATCAAAGCCAGTGGCATGTAATCTTATCTGCTAATGCAAATATAGTTTTCAAATAGGACTACATAAAATTTTCATTTCTTTACAAACCTTGTCAACACCATGGATATCATAGATCTCAACCATTTTGTAAGGTTAATAGTCCCATTTGTCTAAGACCAATTTCTTCACCAATCTTTTCAAAGTAGATTATTAATCAACTAAGATAACTTGCCTTTCTATTTTCAGGGAAATCAGGGTTAGAAAGACATGTTGAGCAATAACTGAAAGAAAAAAAAAAAAAAAGCTCATGACTTCCAGAAACTACAAGTTAAACTTCACAGAAACAGAACTATGCACTGACAAAACCAAGGGACTGTGTGACTAAATGTTGCCTGGACAACTGGTGGAAGAAATGGCTTTTTCTGCTGAGACACATGATACAGATAATGCAGACTGGCAGAGTATTTTATTCTAAAACACAGCAAATAGGATGGAGTTCAGTGTGGAGTATCACCAAGCATGCAAGGTCTCAAACTGGATCTCCAGCACCACAAAATTTACTAAAGCAGAAAATAAGACAAAGGGAAACAAAATGTCCATGCCTAGATTTCATCAGAAAGCAATGGGGAGAGAGGGGTGGTATAACATTATGACACTTTAATTTCAGCGCTAAGTTCAAAACATTCAGACTGGATTCATTGTTAAAACAGTTTGAACTACAGAATATTGACACTGGGCTATCCCTCAGATGCTAACTTCTTCAACTTCTAATTTTGAAGGCAAAAGAGAAAGAATTTGGTGGTGAAGTCATCTTCAACTGTACCCATACATTTTCATTTTTTAAAATTTTATTTATTACTTTTATTTTATGTGTATGCATGTACTGCTTGCATGTAGGTAAGTGCATCTGTGTTGTGCAATGCCTGCGAAGGTAAGAAGAGGCTGTTGGATCCCCTGGGACTGGAGTTATGAACAGTTGTTAGCTGCCATGTGGGTGCTAGGATTCAAACCCCGGTCTTATGCAAGAACAACCAGTGTTCTTAACTGCTGAGCCATCTCTCCAGCCCCTTATTTTTAAAAAAGACAAACAACACATGTTGTCCAGTAAGATTTAAACTCTTCAGAATGTACATTTTCTCTGTGATGGTTTAAATGAAGATAAAAAGGTCCAGTAAGGTGAATGGCTTGTCTACCACAAGCACAACACTAGGCCTAGAACTCAGTGCTCTCTATGAGATTTCATATTTGCTAGCCCACCACCACTCTTTTCAAATTTCAAATGTTTAGAAATTACAAGGAATAATGGCATCTGAAGAAACACATGATCTCTCTCTGCAGAAGACTGTAGACAGTTATTTCACTTCCCCTTTGGCATGCTACTGAGGGGATGGGTACACAAAGCAGCATTTATGGGAAAACCACAAGGAACCAATCACATGGCCAGGAACCTGTTAAAAGATAAAAGATAGGCTCCTCCATAACTCAGGGCCACATTCATGGTTCAATAACAGCATTGCCCAATTGAAAAAAAAAAAAAAAACAACTGTATTTTAAACTTGGATCTTGTCGCCACATTTTGTTTGCTGCTACCCCATTGGGTAGTGTACAAGAGCCTTAATCCTTTTGCAATTAAAAGCAGTTCCACTCATTTTGTTCGAGCGTTTTGGTTTGTGGTTTGTTTTGTTTTTCCTTCCAAAGCTCTTTTTTTCCTTCCAAAGCTGACAACATTACCAAGTCTCACTGCTAATCAAAAAAAAAAATCATGTTCCTAATATCACCAAACCTAGTACCCAATATGCTTTTATTCTGCGGTGCTGGGGATCCAAGTCAGGGTCTCTGACAAGTGTTGCCTACTGAGCATCTTTAACTTAATGAAGAATGCGCAGTAGACTACTCATCATAGACTTATATTCGTAATCTCTAAAAAACCTTGGCAGACTTTCCCGGACTTGCACCCAAGCAGACAACCCTAATTAACGCCGCCTCCGGCCGTGGCTTCAGCTTCTATTTCAAAACAAAACTGCTGGGCCCTCTGCCCAAGGAGGAAGTAGGGATGTGAAGGCATCCCTTTCCCGGGAGCTGCCAGCGCCCAGTCTAGGAGGCAATGGAGACAGCACACACCGTCTTCCTAGGGACCCCCTCGCCCATCCCTCTCCAGGCCTCCGGATCCACCAGCGACGGAAGCCCGCCAGGGGCTGAGATGCTACGGCTGGCACCTGAGGGAGCATGACGACATAGCCGTGCTCTGACGTGTGGTCGTGAGGTAGACTGCAACTGTATGCGGAGGGGTCAAAGGCAGACTACGCAGGGCGCGGCCCCCAGCAAGGCCGCGGCGGCAGGGGCATGACGGTGAGCTGGGACCCGCTCTGGAGCTCCCGCGCCCCGACCCTCGGGAACCCGCACCCGCTGGGACCACGGACTCTCGTGCGCGCAGTCCGGGGACAGGCACTCGCGACGCCCCCTCCCCCGCTCCCAGCCCGCCGCGGTCTCGCGCTTACCGCCCCAGATCCCCAGCTTCAGCTGGGACTTGTTCAGGTTCTCTACATAGTCCCCCAGGAAGCGGTTCAGCAGGTCGGCGACCACCGACTCCAACACCATGGCGGGGACCGAGGAGGCGGGAGAGGGAGGAGCCGGAACCACGCGCTCGGCTTAGGGCGACAACCCTGTGCCGCGACTGACAACACCGCCAGCACCTCCAAGCCGCCCGTGCTGCGCGTGCGCCAGGACTCCGCCACTGCGCAGGCGCAAGGGAGCCGGCTGAGCTCTGTGGACCTAGGTACCGCCTTGCCAGTGAAGAGGAATGCCTGGGGATGTGACTGTGCTTGGCTAACAAGCAGGGAGTGCTGGATTCGATTCCCCAGCATCTCATAAACTGAGCATGGTGGCACTCCCAGCTTCGGGAAAGGTCGAAGAAGAAGCACAAGTTCAAGGTCATCCTTGGGCTGCATAGCCACTTCAAAGCCCCAGACTGGACTATCTGGCCAGACTGAAAAATCAGAAAGAGTTATAAATGGGATGGCTGGGATGGGTCAGTGGTGGTAAAGTGCTTGCTGCCAACCTGACGACCTGAATTTAAACCCAAGTTGCATAGTGCATTTTGTTCTCTGGCCTACACACACGTGCACACACAGACACAGGAAAGAGAGAGAGAGAGAGAGAGAGAGAGAGAGAGAGAGAGAGAGTGATTCAGTAAATGTAAAATAATAATGGAAGATGTAAAGAACCTTTACCTATACCAGTCCTTGACAAGGACCTACCTCAATCTTACATTCTTGGCTCAGAACAAAACTTAGTACTGTGTACCACCAATGAATATATTTCCTTAATTTTATATCTCCCTCATACCCCCTTAGTATCTACTTACTGGCCTACAGTTTTTCCTTTCTTGGGTCCATTCTTCAGACTGACACCAGAGGTCACTTTTCCAAAGTGTCAACTCATCTGCCCCAAAATAATAACCTCCAACATACAAAACATGGTCTCCAATCTTACCCAGCAATATATGGAACTCTCTTCAACCTGTCCCCAAGTTCTTTCTAAATGGGCTTCCAAGCATGCCTGCAGAGATTATCTTGATTAGGCTAAATGAAATGGGATGACTCTCTAAAGCTATATAAAAAGAAGAAAATGGGGGGCTGAAGAGATAGCTCAGTGGTTACGAACACTGGGTCTTCTTGCAGAAGACCTGGGTTCCAATGCCAGCACCCACATGGCAGCTAAGAACTGTCTGTAACTCCAGTTCCAGGGGATCTGACACCCTCTTCTGACCTCTTTGGGCATTGCACTTACATGCATGCAGGCAATACACACACATAAAATTTAAAAATAATAAATTTTTAAAAATTTTAAAAAGAAAGCTGAGAACAAGCACTTCTCCCACTCCCCTTCTCCTCCCCTTCCCTCTCCCTCCCTCTCTCTGCTTCCTGATTGTGAGTGCCACCTGACCAGCTACTTCAAGCTCCTGTAGCTTTGACTTTCTTCTCCACCATAATGGAGATACTTCTAGATGCTTCCAGAACTGTGAGCCAAAATAAACCCTTTCTTATGTTGTTTTTGTCTGGTATTTTATCATAGCAAGAGGAAAAGTAGCTAAGACAGTCCTCTCAATAGTCCCTCTCCCCTCTTATACACCTACTAACTGAGGGAGGTATAAAGAAAGAACACATTGCCATTGATGCGGGGCATGTATCATTAAAAAAGCAACAAAACAGTGCAAGGATGTACAGATAACAGAGAGATAGTATGAACAGACAGAAAGGTACAACAACCTTGTGGGAGAAGTGAGCAGTACTGAGCCTCAGGTAGTCATTCCCTATATTTATATAGCACTTGACAGTTTTGAAAGGATAATGTATGGATATGCTCTTATGAGTGTCATTCCACAGACCAAAGAGATGGCTCAGCAGTTAAGACTGGCTGTTCTTGCAGAACCAGGTTCAAGTCCCAGCAGCCACATGGCAGCTAACAACTGTCTGTAACTCCAGTTCCAGGAGATCCACCAGCATCTTCTGTCCCCCCGTGGGCATTGCACAACATGGGTGCACTTATATACTGTCCTAGTTTGTTTCTTCATTGCTGTGACAAAACACTCTGACCACTACCAACTTGGGGAGGAAAAGGTTTATTTATCTTACATCTCCCGGCTCACAGTTCATCACGGAGCCCAAGGTAGGGACTCTGGGCAGGAACCTGGAGGCAGGAGCTGGAGCACAGGCCATGGAGGAATGCTGCTTACAGGATTGCTCCCTGGCCCCTGCTTGCAACACAGACCCACCTGCCCAGGGGTGGTACCACCCACAGTGGGCTGGGCCCTCCCACATCACTCATCAAGAAGATGCCCCTCAGACATGGCCACAGGCCAGTCCAGTAGAGGTAATTCCCCAACTGAGGCTCCCTCAACCCAGGTGTGTCAAGTTGACACTAAAGCTATCCAGCACACATACATTCAGGCAATACATGCATACACATATAATAAATAAAACAAGTCTCATTCTGCTTTATTATGTTTTAATTATGTATCAGAAATTGTGTCATTATTATACAAAGGTAGGCATCTTTTCATAATCTTTTTTATTATTTTTATTGATCTTATTTTTATGGGTATGAGTATTTTGCCTCCATGTACATTAAGTGCACCCATGTATGCAATGCCTGCAAAGACCAGAAGAGGATGTAAGATCCCATGAACTAGAGTTGTGGAAGGTTGTTATCTGCCATGTGGGTGCTGGGATCCAAACCCAAGCCCTCTACAAGAGCAGCCAGTGCCCTTAGGTGCTGAGCCTTCTCTCCAGCCCCATATTTGCTTAATCTTCACAAATGATTTGTGAGGCTGTTAAAGTAGGTAGCATTGTCCCAGTTTAAAGTTCAGGAATGTTAAATGACTTATTCCAAATTGCATAGGAGTTACTAATTTCCTTCCCTGAACACTACCACCTTATCAGTAATTATACACTCTATAAATAATCATACAATTTATTTGCCACTGATTATTAGTAATTCTTAGATATATTTTAAGGGTTAGTTGAAGAATTAAAAATCTTAAAATAGGAAACAAGCCTTTCGGTGCAAATGATGTTATTATGTGCCTACAAAAGCTTTGAAATTTTGCTATTTTCCACTTATTTTAAGAAATTGAATGTTACATGCCCCCAATAACACCTGAAATTTCCCTTATTCCTTTAAAAAGGCAAAAATGTATAGCCCTTTTCTTAAAATCAGAATAATTAATATCAAAATATACCATAGGAACCCAAGAAATTGTATGCACAGGCTAACTACAGAAAATGAACACTAGTCATTGTAGCTCTTAGTTTCATGAATTCTAGCTTAAGAACAATTAAAAGAATAATAAAGGTAGTTACAAAATGAGATTGAAAAATAAAAATGATGAGAAAATGTTTTTGTTAAAAACCAAAAGTTGAAGATACATTTTTAAAATATTTTATTATTTATTTTTATTTTATATGTATGAGTATATTGCCTGCATGTAAGTGCACCTGTGTCATGCAGTGCCCTCGGAGGTCAGAAAAGGGCGTTCGATCCCCTGGAACTGGAGTTACAGACGGTGTGTTAGCCACAATGTGGTTGCTCAGTATTGAACTCATGTACTCTGCAAAAGCAGCCAGTGCTCTCAACTACTGAGCCATCTTTCCAGACCCAGAGAGATACATTTTTTAATTAACAACTCTTTACAAAGTTTTGAAAAAAAATTATATCTTCATAGTACCCAGCACCCACACCTCATTCCCCAGCTGGAGAAAGTTAAGTATAAGCCACAACTGGATAGAACTTAGAAAGATTCACTGGGAGGTGTGGAAATGGCTCAATAGATAAAGCACTTATGATGCAAGCATAAGAACTTGAGTTCAAATACCAGGAATCCATGTAAAGGAGGATGCAATAACAAGTGTCTATAATCCCAATTCCCCACATTGAGAAGGGAGGCAGAGATGGGAGAATTCCCAGAAGTCCACAGGTCAGCTAGCCAGGCATACGCAGGGAGAACGAGACCCTATCTCAAGGTGGAAAGTGAAGACCAATACATTAGGTTGTACTCTGACCACCAAACGAGAACCATGGCATACACATACCTATACACAAAGGAACACAGATACATACATACATGCATATATACATACATACAGGGGTGAGAGGAAGGGGGCTAACTGGATAAAAGACAGGAGACAGCACAGCAAGGAAGCTGACACATCTGGTGAATCCAAGCACCTAGGTTGACAGATGAAGATGCAGTAAAAGAACTGAGGAACTTGCTCAGTGCTCCGCAATTTAATGGCTGTCAGACCTAAAATCCTTAGGTTCTTTCTAGTACTTCATACGCTACTGGACCGAATGAGATGTCAAAGCAGATCAGTTGTAATTGCTTCTTACTTTTCTAGGTACCCAACTAACTTCCTATGTACAGTTTTTGTGAATCTACCTTCTTATTTTCTTTTGATTGACACATAATAATTGTGCATTTTTATTAGGTATTATACAATGTGATTTTTGATTCATCTATACATTGAGAAATGCTATGGATGGGATGATTAACATAGCCATCATTCTAAACTTTTATTTGTTTGTATGGTGAATGCAGTCAAAGTCTTTCCTTTGATGTTTTCAGATATGTACTGCAATATTATTAGCTATATTCACCCTACCGTGCCATAGAACATTAGAACTTATACCTCCTATCTACCATTATGCCCATTATCCAACCTCTTCCAATCCCATCCTCAACAAATCTGCTTTTGAATGTTCAGTTTCCTTTTACTGTGAGGGAGCCTCCATCTACAACAGTGTGTGGCTATTTATGCTCTTCTCACAGCTCCCCCATTGGATATTCCCAAGGCTACAGGTGTGAGCTCAGACTGACCACAGTCCTCTTCTGGGTAGATTAATGTGTTCTGGACACCACCCCCCCTCCCCCAACCAAATTATACCATCCACCCAAGTACTAGATGGCTTGTGTTTTCCAGTTAAGTAAAACAGACTGTTGTGATCACAGAGGACCAGGCCTATGTGGCACATCGCTACTGTTTTCAAGAAACATTATACAGGAAGTGCTTTCAAGGTGCTACCAAACAAGGGAAATTGTTAGTAAAAATTAGACAAGTCTGCTTTGCTTAGCTGGATAGAGAAATGTTTTTCAAAGACTCTTGGTGTGAATCACCTAATACCTGACTAAGCAAGCAAGCTAATAATAAAAACATTAACTGTGAGCCAGCACTTGCTGTCTGCCCCAGACAGTGCATAAGGATCTCTCTTACCCTCACCACAATCTATGCCACCTCCATTTCATAAGTTGGGCTCAAACAACTCAGTGAATTCAATTCACAACTTCTCAGACTGAGTTCTCATAAAGCTTATCATCTAACCAGGGACTGTCTGCGCTCCCATGAAATCAGCAGCATCTTGTCTCTGAAGGAGCACTGAGTTTGAAAACATGTACATGGCCTTCATGTATAACTTAACAATTACTCTCCCACAGATTAATCCTGGTTCAAGAATTTTTACCAACAGTAGGGGTTATAAGGTGACAGAGAAGATGGTCACAGATGTAATAAATCTCAGGCACCCTCCCAATCTTGCCAATCATACTAAATATAAAATAGAGTTCAAAAGTTTCTTGAGGCTGGAGAGATGATGACTCAGTGGTTAAGAGAGCTTGCTACCATTGAAAAGGACTGTAGTTTGGTGCCCAGCACCCAGATCAGGCAGTTCACAACTGCCTATAATTCCAGCTCCAGGAGACCTAACACTCTCTTCTGGCATCTGCAGGCATGGGCACACACATTCACATACATACACATAAGTCAAAATAAAAATAAAATCTTTTTTTAAAAAGTTCTTTTTCATTCCCACTTCAGTCAGATGGAATGCAAATTTTGCCCTTTATCACTTTATTCATCTTTTAAGGACTGTACATAGATTGACAGGATCTGGTACAGCCTGGATTTACCTGCCTAGCATGGTGACTAGAAATCAGGACACATTCAATAAAAATTGCTTTGAAAAAATTAATGAACTAAGGAGTATTTGCTGTAACTGCAATGGACATAATAGCTGACATTATGCACATCGGGCTCTATGCTAAACTCTGCTTATGCAATGCCTTCTTTTATTCAAGGGCAAAACTATGGTATGAATTATCATCAGTTTTACATTTGACACTGAGGCTCAGAAAAATTAAGTAACTTGCTCAGCGTGAGCTACCATTCTGGAATCAAAATTTGTTAAGATTTCATACCCAACTTTCTTAACTACTGTACAATATTTTACTGTCTGTATCAATAATAATAATAATCACTGCTTCTGTACCTTTAGCATTTGCTATGTTCCATGCATATTGCATAATTTATGTTATTAACATCAATAATTTATGTTATTAACATCAATCCCCAACCACTCACTACTCATTTGAAGATATTCCCTTCATTTCCCATTATTTGATGAGTATGGGTAAGTAATTTAATAAATGAAATGAAGGTTTTCATCTCCAAAACATGGATAATCAGAATTCCCAAGGTTTCTGTGACAATTCTACCCACTAAATACCTAGCCTGTATGTCCTGGATACAAAACACATACATAAAACACATCATATCCCAAATTCAGCTTAATTCACTAAACATTATTTGCAGAAGTGATTCATTTGCTAGACTGTATCTTAGCAATATATCCTCAAACCCTGAACAAAATGCCTCAATGTGTATTTCAGCTCACTCTATTGGCAAGCAACTCTCTGAAAGAATGAACAAGTTTCCAAGACAGGAAAAGGCGTCTTGGATAGGCACAGCCTCCAAAGGCCAGATATGGTCAGGGTGCGTCTACAAGGGATGGTAGCAAAGGCAGGATATACGGAGGGAGTGTAGTTTCCTAATTAAAAATAAATCAGCATTCTGCTTAAGAAGGTTGTGGTTTTCAAAATTGGGGTATGTTGTATACACAATAAAGTGCCCTAATCTTAAGTATACACCAGATGATTTCTTTACCTAGGAATACACCCCTGTAACTCCAACTCCACCCAAATCAAATAATGTTTCCGTCACCCCATAAAGTACAACCGCCCAACCCAGAGTGATTTTAAATCAACACAGAAAGAACATCTAAAATCAGAACTGAAATGCAGAAAGTAATGAACGTTCCATGCTAGGAACCAAGAAGGTTGGATTTGAGACAGGTTATTAAGACAAACCGACTTCTGGCTTCTTTTAAATGATGCGTGCAGAGTGCTTCTGTGCTTCACGTTCCTTTTGTCCTTTTGTCCAACTGTCCTCACAATGACTGCCATACAGGGAAGATTAAATCCTCTTTAGCACGTGAGGAAAGGAACTTGTTCAGGGTTTCCGAGAATAGCTCCGACCACAGCAGAAGGAGCAAGCTGCATGATCGGACCAGCAAATCCATACACGTGGCAGAAGGACCTGGGAGGGCCTGGTGTCAGGTTACCAAGCCAGCAGCACGGCACAGCTGGTATAAAGGCTCGGCCCAGCTGTCCTAGAACACCTGTGGTCAAAGCGCCCTGCCTGCTTTGAATGTCTCAAGGCATCTCTGGTTTGATGACCACGGCAGACTAGTGCGGAAACTATCGGCCTCTCAACAGCAGGTATATGAATGGGAACCTAGATGCTTGGCCGGGGGGGGGGG